AAAAATATTAATATTTTTAAAGCAAATTTGATCATATGACTGTTACCTAGAGTGAAAGAGCAACTTACTGCATAAGATTGTGTATTGTGAAAATATTTTCGGGGAGCAGTGTATTTCTCTGTTTGTCTTAGAAGCTATAGTTAACTTTTAAGACAATTAATGAGGTTTTCATAGCCTAAAAAAAACGTTGGCTAGAAAATTAACTCCTTTTCCAAGTGTATTTAGAAAAAAATGTATAGAATGAGCCATATTTTTCTGGCCTTGTTCATGCAAATAATCCACTAACGTGAGTAATGCAAGCAGGATTTGGCCCACTATGTGTAAGTATATGAATTTGTATGAAGTATAAATTATGGCCAACATTTCTCAACATAGGTACTTGAAGTTAAGTTCCTAATCTCTGAATTGGACCCGTTGTGCAAAGACTTAGTCACATGCTTAACTTTACGCCTATGAGTAGTTCCACTGAACTCAACAGGACTACTCTGATGTATAAAGTCATTCATGTGCAAATGTTTGTGGGATTGGGATCTTAGACACCTAAGGAGAAGTTGTCCTGATTTTTCCAAGGTGCTGAGCATCTGCAGCTCCTATTCAAATGAATTGGAGCAAGGGGTATTCAGTACGTTTGCAGATTTGGGTCATTTTTATTTAGAGCCTAAATATGGATTTAGGAGCTTAATTTCATGTTTCTATGTTTGAAAATTTGTCCTAGGCCTAATATATTTAATGAAAAGTTATACTTGCTATCTTTTAATATTGCAGTAGGATCTTTTTTTGGCTCATTGTAAAACTAGGAAAAATTGTTTAGACTTGTCATATGATTTTTGTGGCTGCAGCACATCATTATTATGAATGAATGCAAGCACATATATAAAGTACCTATTTTGCCAACAAATGTGTATAACTGATCACCCATAAACACCAGCAATAATTGCATGCTATGGGATTGTTACAAACTTTGTTGCCTTTTTGCTGCTTCTGTCTACAAATTTTGGGGTGTGGAGGAAGGGGAAAGAAGGGAAGTTGTAGGAGGAGAATGTGTCTGGGGGCGTGGGGGGAGGTTGACCTGAATGAGAGGAACCCCTGCTGACATGGCCAGTCTGACCCATTGAATGGTCTGAATACAATAAATGCTGCTTTATCCTTTCTTGAAAGGAACAAGATAGCACAGCCTAAATGCCTGGGTGTGCTTAAATAGGGAACTCTGGGACGTTTGAGTTGAGTGTTTGAAATCTGAGCTCTCTGACAGCCTGGGAGCTGCCACAGGTCACCTGCCTTACTCCATGGGGATAGGCCCAGGTCTCACAAGAAATTGTCCATGGACGAATTGTAGTACAAATTCCTTTCTTTGTTGGTTGGCCTCTTTCACTAGACCATGGCCTATAAAATTTTGTAAAAACAATTCTTAAATATTATTTGAAAGGGCAAATGGCCATGCTGAAAGGTTTGACAGTTTGACATATAGTGTATGGTTTTGATAGCTTGGAAACTGAAATGTGGAGCCAAGACTCTCCTTATGCTTGTTATAGGCTCGGTGTTTTTTAAATAGTGTCTAGTTGCTGTGCAGAGTTCCTTTGCTCCTAGCAATTTGACAGGCAATGAGTCTGCTTCAGTGATCTTAAATCCTTTTAGACTAATTTGTGAGAGAGCAGAAAAACAGCTAGCACCTTTTGGATTCAATGTTCAAAAATAGAGAATCAGGTATTGCCAATTAAACTGCCATTTCAAACAATTATATCAAGACAGATTACTTTAAATTCCTCTGATAATGTCATGCAATGCCTAAAGAGAAAGCAACTGGGAGTTTCTCTGCAGACAAAAGGATTTGAGTGGACCAAACTCATCAGTGACTGAGGCAGAGGTAGTCTGAACCAGATTTCTGCATTAAAATGTTGCATATGTGCAACACGAATGCAAGCAGTGTGCATACTCTTCCCCGAATAGCCAAAGGCCATTTTAAAGAGCTTCTGGCCCCTCAGTCACTGGCCTACTAGTTAATTGCCACACGGGCTTCGTGACACATGGGCAGATAATATGACATTTTCAGTTTCTGTCACTAGCAAACGCCACAACGTTGCTTGCACTAGTTGCTAAGAAGCTGTCAGAAACCATTAGCAGTTGGCTAAAGTTGCCCTATGGCATTTCCTCATGGCATCAGCAAAACGAGCATAAATCACCCAGTGGAGCCTACTGCTATACTAATGAGGCTGTAAGCTTGTTTATGGACTAGCATCATTTTTATGATTATTTCCACCTTTTCAGTTTGCCTTCATTTGGCGCTAGGAGAAGTCAACTTCAGGAATGAAGTCACTGCTGACATTTTACAAATGTGGTTCGTAGCTGCTACCATGTGGTTGGTCAATGGTTCTTCAAGTTTGGTTAGTGATGTTAAAAGAAAAAAGAAAAAAAAGGGGAAAGAAATTCTCTGGAGACCTCATAGAGGTGACTGTATCAAATTGCAGAGTGAATGGAAATGTTAAAAAACACAATTGACCATTTAGACTTTCCTCTGAGGTTTAGTCTTTACAGGATCAATTTTCAATTTAAAAAAGTGGAAGAGATTAAACAATTTATTTAAAATATATGAAAGTATTTGCTTTTAGAATAGTTTGTTGCTTTATTATCCACTTCCCCCTTTCACCTTCCCTAACTTGTGTCGGACAGGACTAGAGTTTATTGTTTTAGGCTTTTCTGAACATGCACCAGTATTTATACTGGATTGAAAGCATTTGCTTCCAATGAAAATCTTGTCTTAGATTACAACCCAGCAGTGTAATTTCCCTCCCAGATGGGAGTAAAGTAGCTGTATTTGCCTAAAAACAGTAGGAAGAACAAACTGTGCATTAAGCCAAGGCTGTTTTTGGCTTGAGCTAATGATGTAACAGAAACCTTTTATTTGGGATAGGTCACTGCCAGGGATTGAAGGAGGTGATCTGGCTCTCGCTTGAAAGGTTTCTCCATTGTATCTACATAAGTCTTCACTTAAAAAATTCTGTTCCTAATGCTTCTGCTTTCATACAGCAGAAATAAACAGGAAAGGTTCTGGGGAGTGTTATACATGGAATGCAGAAAGCTTTTCCTCTCCTAATGGAGTATATAATTCAGGTGCCCTGAAGGCATGCTTTCAGGAATTCTTTTGCCTGAGGTAATGGGAAGCTCAGGCTGCTTTAAGGCCTTGATTATCTATTGATGCACAAAGCTGGAAAAAAGTCATCTCCGTTGGATTATAGTACATATTTCCATAAATTATCAATGAATTCTCTTCTAGTCAGGCACTAGGCATTGCCTACTAAATTAATCTGAAGGGGGTTAGAAATGGATAGAAAGTATATTTTAAAAATAGTGGTAAAACAATCATAGGGAGGTGGTGAAAGACAGTGTCATTAGGTTAGAAGCTTTTCATTTTTAATCAATGAACATGTAATATTTTTCTTTTCCTTGCTCTTGTCTCACAGATAGAAAGTGGATTAGCCCATGGAAATTTTAAATGCTGTTGAGTTGTTTCCTTTGCTCATGTTTCTTTTATGAATTATTATTTTATATGGTGAATTGCTTCTCTGTATAAAAGCCTTTTTTTCTTTTTCTTTCTTTTTTTTTTAACCTACTGAGCTTTCAAAGAATTTATCAGCCAAAGATATCTGGACTCTTCATGAGGACCTTGTTTTATAAATATGAATATTCAAGTCTAGTCTTGCATTAAATACACACAATCAGTCATAAGGACAGCTACAAATTCACTACAGTCAGTAGTAAAATTATATAAAAATGTAAAATACTAAAAATATAAAACTTTGTCACTTTTTTTAGTTAAACTCTACATAGTGTATGACAATTTTGACAGTCCAAAACCCATCTTTTGTTTTTTATTCCTAACAGAACAGAATTAAACTCTTGATTCAGCTCAGTTCAGTTTATTTTCTTGATCATTCTTGCCTCGGGGTGTAGAGAATACTTGCCTAATTGCATCACAACTCTGCACTTATCATAAAAGTACGATTCTTGGAAGCCATGATACATCATTCAATCCGCATGCGGGGGATGAAGAGAATAAATCACTATATGGATTTGTTTATGAACTACTTTTTGGGGTTTAAACAAAAATGGTGCACTGATTGACCAGGCACTCAAAACCATTGTTTTTCTCTGCACAATAGGCCGCTATTTCACCACCGACAAAAGCCACTGCTATCCAGTTTTATACTCCCGTAGATGAGCTGCTAATTTGGCGAGTTTAAGGCCCTCTCTATGTTAAGGAAATTTGTGCTGGATCAATGTAATTACATTGGTGCAAACACCTAACATAGATTTGGTGCACCAGCACAAGGCAGGGCTTACATACTGCATTGGTATAAGTGTAGTTAACCCAGCATGAATTTCTTTGGGCCGGGATTTTTAACAGCATCTCAGGAGATTAGGTGCCCAAGTCCCAGTGAAAGTGAATGTGAGTCGGGCATCTAGATGCTTTGAAAATTCCAGTCTTAATATAGATAGAGCCTCAATCTTACTATTGTCGTTTTGAACTTGGGTAGAGGACCAAATGGTGCAAGAGATTTGCCAGCAAGCTGACTCTGAATTTGAACTTTGCATCTCAGAGTGGAACATGGCATCTGGGCTGCTGCATGTTAAGGTGACATAACATCATCAATACATTATAAGCCACAATTTGAGTCAAACACCATTTGCCTGATCTGTAAACACAGAGAGATTTCTGTGAAGGTAATGAAGAGACTCCCCCTCCTCCAGCTTGGCAAGCAGGGTGCTTAATTCACTTTTTTTGTTGCTGTGCTGAATGAAATGAGAGAAATGGCTATCTCATTCTTATAGTTGTTCAGAATAAACCAGAATTTGTCTGAGAGAGGTTATTTTCTCCCCCTCCCCAGGAATTACAGCACAAAAGAATTTATATCCCATTTAAATATTCATATACCCCAAAGTCAGGCTTTGACTGAAGTATCTAAAGATAGCATAAGTCAAAATTTGATTCACTATATTTACAGGTGACGGCTTGGACAACAGTGTAGCTTCCCCCAGCACAGGTGATGATGATGATCCAGATAAGGACAAAAAGCGACATAAAAAGCGTGGCATCTTTCCCAAAGTAGCCACAAATATCATGAGGGCATGGCTGTTCCAGCATCTAACAGTAAGTGAACTCTAGATCACATTTGTGAAATGAACATGGAAAATGTCATGGTCGTGGTGGTAGTAGACAAAAATATTTAATAACATGTTACTGACAGGCAGTTCAGGGTGCTTTTCCAATTGTGTCTTTACATCATTTGCTAGATGCCAGAGAGAGAGTATTTATAGTATATCTTTGTTTTTGTTGCTTTTAGCTCTTTGGTTTGAGTGCAGTTGTTAACAGGAGGTCATCGGAAAGTGTGATAGATCTTACAGTAATAACATTAGACCAATCCTGCCCTTGTTCACATGGCTGCAGCTCCTGTTGACTTCAGTGTGAATTGCTGCTTTGTAGAGGAGAGCAGAGTTTGGCCCATTGTTCTGTGTTCTGGAGAACCTCAGAGAATCAATTAGGGGAAAAAAAACCAAAGCTTTTATTCAGATATGTGTCAGAGATCAGAGAATTCCTATCAGAGAGAGGTCGGAGTGTATCTGCTGTAATGGAAGAGCATCATTTTTAATTTGTTTGAGACTTTCTCAGTCCCAGAGTGTAAGTTATCACTGTATTTAATATCACAAAGGGGGGGGGGGAAGATGTACAGTTATTTTGTTGCCACAGCAACTATATTTATTTCTGTGATTAGGAATAAAAACTCTAGGAAGGAGCATTGGGTTGAGCTTTAGGCTGCTGCTTTCATTAATGATGTACAGTGTCTGTCAAGCCTTCAGTTGTTACCTGGCAGTCAGACATTTCTAGTGCCATCCCTTTTTGGAGTCAAATTATGGCTTCCATATGGTGAAGCATCACCATGTGTTCGTTCACGTGCGATTTAGGCCCACAGACTTTGGGTTAGGGGTAAAGTAAGCCAATCAACTCACTCAACCACAATGGGTTTCTGCCAAATTAGTAAATATCAATTAATGTTTCCTCTTGTCATCCCTACTTCCTTCCCTGTGCCAAATAACTAGAGACTGGATGTCTGACAAAACTGTATCAGGCAGGGAATTCTTCCCTTCTTACACCATCCTGGACTGCTATAAATGAACCTTCATGCCTGATCACGCTTGCTCAAGCCCAGATAGGTCCTTAGACACCTCCCAGTTGATCTCCCTTACTGGCACAGTCCACACCAACTGGTATAGTGGCACCATGCTATCCCTGTATCAAGAGCATCTTAGAGCACTCCAAGGTAGTGTTTCAGAAGGTTGAAGTTATGTTACAAATGAAAAGGGAATGCTTAACCCCCATTACAAGGCTGTCTTCTCACCAGATATACAATGAGAATCTGGCAGGCTCTAATGCCACTCAGTGACATACAAGGTTGCAGGCAACTGACACCGAAGTATTCTGCAAATAGCCAATGGATACACTCAATCTTGGCCCTTAAGTCTAGTGACATTCTGATCCTCATACCAGCCTGACATCTCTGCACCAGCTGGCTGATGCAATGGCTGCCAATTTCTTTCCTACACTCCAAGATTGGAGAGAGACACTGTGGCAACTCTGCAGTTACAATGGAAACAATTACAACGCACAACCAAGTGCAATAATCAAACTCAGACCAGCCCCTACACTTCCTGCTTGAACTGTCTTATATCTGAGGTGCTCTAAGAAATATTTATTATTTATATTATCAATATTTATTTCCAGAAGCACAGACAACGTGCTAAGTGCTTTCCAAACTTGGGCAATGAGTGTGAATGGTGCATTGCAGATATAAGACAATTGCTTTGCTGCAAGGTGCTTACTATAACAAGTAGACTGCCACTAGTTGGTGGCAAGTACATCCTGGAGCAATGCCAATGAAGTAACCTCCTCATTCTGTAGAGTGAAGGCAGTAATCTCCAGGACCAGTGCAATAAAGGGAATGCTCCTTCTCCAGCATAGCATTGAACTGAAATCTAATTAAAAATCCACCATCCCTGCGGAGGAGCAGCCAAACCAGAGTTAGCCGTGTTGTAATTAACAAAGGCTTAATGAAGACCCTCCTTATCCATACATTTGTGCAGCATCGTGCTGGCTTAAAATAAAATAAAAAATTAATGGAGATATCCTATCTCCTAGAACTGGAAGGGACCTTGAAAGGTCATTGAGTCCAGCCCCCTGCCTTCACTAGCAGGACCAAGTACTGATTTTGTCCCAGATCCCTAAGTGTCCCCCTCAAGGATTGAACTCGCAATGCTGGGTTTAGCAGGCCAATGCTCAAACCACTGAGCTATCCCTCCCCCCTGGCTTGAGGCTTGCCTGATCAGTCTTGTAAAACTGTAAAGGATCACCCTCCCTACTTCCAGCAACTGCAGGTGGTTCATTGTTCTAGCCAAGTCATATCAGCTCCAGGTGGATCATGGACCGTTCTCCAATACAAAAAAACGTGAAAAGGTTGCCCAGAGAAGCAGACATTTTAGGCTCTCTAGAGAGCACGTTGTGGTTAATAGCAGACTAAGAATACAAAGTTACCATAACATGGTCATACATGGTAAGGAGATGTCTTTATACTCTGGAAGGCTACATACAGCTTTGGCCTATCCCTCCACCAGTGAAAGCACTAGAGAACATCTGCATTGAAATGGGTGACTGATCACGTGTGTGCAGAAAGAATTCAGTGATGTATGTTGATATTTTGGAAAGAGATGACTTTAACTGGACTAGGGCTGTAGATTGCTGCATGACACACTGCTTCTGACATGCCACATTAGAGACAACAGAAAAAACCAAGAATACAGTCCAGTAGCAACTGCAGGTATTTGGGGCAACTGATCTTTCTACCAGTTCAAACACCATCAGATGCCAAAGTCCTGTAAGAACACGCATTGTGGAAGGCTCATGCACTTGCTTCCTGGAAATGAGACAGACAATGCCATTGTTTCTGTGATTTATGTACCTGTAAGTTAGGTATTCAGTGGTAGATACCTTAGGATGATGATGCCCACAAGTCGCATCATTCTGTGGGATTGCCTTGACTGGGGTTAGTAATATGCATGAAGGACCTGATTACTACTGAATTTCCAGGCCCAAGTCAGAACTGGGAAAAATTTGGAAGTGGTAACAGCCCAGTCTAGCTTATAAAACTTCTGGACATCTAATGACTGCTTGGTGGATCAATCCTCTATAAACGTGCACACCAGAACCATTGTCTCCCCAGTGCATTGGACTCTCCTTACAGATTAGAGTACAATACTCATTCAATCCTCTCCTAAAAAAATCTCTCAGGAAAAGATCTCAAACCTGCAGGTCTCTTCATTTCCTTGAAAAGACAGATGAAATGGTGGACAATTAACACAAACAGCCACCAGGAAGAATCAAAAAGCATGAGCCAGAGTGGTGACGCAAGGTTCAGGTGCTCCAGAAGAGAAAGCAGTTTACTGTTGGCTAACTTTACATGCCTCAGGTGCATATTGCACCGATCTTTGAGCTGTTGTACGTCATCAGCTGACGGACAAATGAATCAAGTTCATTACTAAGGAATGTGTGAGAGGAAGGGAGGCCCCTCTGTCCTTTTTCATTTAAGGGTACCTGTCTTACTAGCCAAGCCTGAAATATCAGGAGACACTGACAGTCCTGATTCCTGGTTACTAACGCAGAACCTTTGAACATTCTGCACTCTCAAGATTATAGTCCATCTGAGAAAAGAACTAAACTTCTTGAAAACTATGTAAGAAACAGCACAGCCTATAGGCATGGTTCTGTTAGAATAAATTGGAAATTAGAATCCATAAAGAAAAAAATATTCCTTTTAGAAGGCTAGACTCCAAAGGCTTTGCCATCGTAATGTAGGTTCAGTATTTAAAGACCAGATGCGCCACAAGATCCATTGGCATCTGCAGGGTCACTTTAGCCCACAGCTGAGTGAGAGATGCTCCTGGAGGGAAAAGTGTCACACCTTGTTAAGCCTGAAGAAATGCCTGGTGGGAAAGGGGTGGAACTAATGACAGTGATCCAGCTGCTTGACCCATTGCCAGGCCTGGCACTGTATTTTGAATGGCCTGTATGTGCAGCATCCAGGGCAGGAAAAAATGGGAGGGAATATATCCCCAAATCCCATTCTTGCCTTACCTGCCTCACCCCCATGAGTTCAACATTCTGGTGGTGCAGATAACAAATTCTGGTAACTCAGCATGGGCAGTAAGGAGACAGATTCCCACCTGAGAATCATGTGGCAGAAGCTGGCCTAGGAGGGGATGTAAGACCCAGACCCACAATCAGAGCTTGCCGTAGGGGTCGGAGGGTTGAGCCATTGCTCAGGTTGCCTTGCTCACGGGGGTGCCGTGCTGGTACCTCTGACCCACTGACAGCCAACGGGGCTTAGAGGCAGCCAGGCAGGCGCGGCAGTGTCTGGAGAGGGTGGACGGACTGAGCTGCAGGAGGGCAGCTGGACCGGCCAGGTAACTCCTGCGAAGCCGGGGTGCCCCTCTTCCCCTGCTGTCTGCAGCCACTGCTGCTACTGCCTCCCCTCCCCCCGGTGCCCGTGGAGCCACCCCTGGCCAAGCCGCTCAGGTGCTGGAGCCTGCCTCCTGTCCGCTGTGCAGGGTGGGGCATGGTGGTGAGGGGGCGCTGGTGTCGGGGTGTCCCCCTTCCCTCACCCGTGTACCCAGTCTCCACTGACTGGGGTGGGTAGTCAGGGGCTGCATGTCTGTGCTGGTGCCTCTGGGTCTGACGTTGGTTCTGCCGGGGATGCTGTTCAGGCTCCTAAATGCTCTGCTTAAAGAGACAGCATGCTGACACACTTACTCAGGCACACTCACTCCAACGCAAACACATTCTCTCTCTTTCTCTCTCTCACATGTCGTAGCTGTTGCTTCTTGGTACTTCCTGTCGAAATGCGCAAGGCACATATATTCTCTGAAATTTTATTCTTTAAAAGTTCGTTCAGGATTACAGTGCTGTTAGTTTAGTTTTTTGATTGATCTGTGCATTTCATAATTTTATTTTTCTTATTCTTAAATTTTAATTCTTTGAGTAGTGAGTTCTAAAATGCCTAACCTGTCCTGGTTGGAGTAATTGTCCTTTGTAGGTGACAAATC